TAAAATTACGGGGCCAAGTTTTGTGCCCCTGAGGCACGCCGCATGTTATTTGTTGCTAATCTGACAGCCCATTATCTTATAAAATGCTTCCGTCCACATAGTCCTTCTTCTGTATACTGTATATCATCAAATGAACTTTTAAACAGTGATTCCTTTTAAATTTCTTTCCACATTGTTCACATTCATATAGTCTTTCTCCTGTATGCAGCATCAAATGAACTTTTAAACAGCAATTCGTTTTAAATTTCTTTCCAGTGTAAGCATTCACATGGTCACTCCTGCATGCATCATTAAATTAAGTTTGAAATTACTATTGCTTATAAACAATGTCTTGTCACTGTGTTTACATTCAGTCTTTCCCCTTTATGTATCATCAAATGTTCTTTTAAATTGTGATTCCGTCTAAATTTTTTTCCACAGTGTTCACATTCATATGGTCTCTCTCCTGTATGCATCATCAAATGAACTTTTAAATTGTCATTCCTTTTAAATTTCTTTCCACAGTGTTCGCATTCATATGGTCTCTCTCCTGTATGAATAAACAAATGTTTTTTTAAACTGTTATTATCTTTAAATTTTTTTCCGCAGTGTTCACATTCATATGGTGTCTCTCCTGTATGTATCCTTAAATGACTTCTTAAAGAGTAATTTCTTTTAAATTTCATCCCACAGTGTTCACATTCATATGGTTTCTCTTCTGTATGTATCACTAAATGGCTTTTTAAACTGCCGTTAGTGTTAAATTTCTTCCCACAGTGTTCACATTCATATGGTTTCCCTCCTGTATGCATCTCCAAATGACTTGATAAATTGCTATTCCTTTTAAATTTATTTCCACAGTGTTCACACTCATATGGTCTCTCCTCTGTATGCATCCTCAAATGACTTTTTAAACTGCTGTTGTTTATAAATTTCTTTCCACAGTGTTCACACTCATATGTTCTGTTTTCTGTATGCATCCTTAAATGACACCTTAAACTGCTGTTGTTTTTAAATTTCTTTCCACAGTGTTCGCATTCATATGGTCTCTCTCCTGTATGAATAAACAAATGTTTTTTTAAACTGTTATTATCCTTAAATTTCTTTCCACAGTGTTCACATCCATTTGGTCTCTCTCCTGTATGTATCTTTAAATGACTTTTTAAAGTGTTATTTCTTTTAAATGTCTTCCCACAGTTTTCACATACATATGGTCTCTCTTCTGTATGTATCACTAAATGGCTTTTTAAACTGCTGATGGTGTTAAATTTCTTCCCACAGTGTTCACATTCATATGCTTTACCTCCTGTATGCATCTCCAAATGACTTGTTAAATTGCTATTGCTTTTATATTTCTTTCCACAGTGTTCACACTCATATGGTCTCTCTTCTGTATGCATCCTCAAATGACTTTTTAAACTGCTGTTGTGTATAAATTTCTTTCCGCAGTGTTCACACTCGTATGTTCTGTTTTCTGTATGCGTCCTCAAATGACTTCTTAAACTGCTGTTGTTTTTAAACTTCGTTCCGCAGTATTCACACTCATATGGTCTCTCTTCTCTATGTATCCTCAAATGACATTTTAAAATACTGTCACTTTCAAATACTTTTCTGCAATATTCACATTCATGGAATATTTTCTTTGTATCTATCAAATCTCTTAAATTACTTGAGTGACCAAATGGCTCTTGAATATAATCACATTGTTCAAATTCTACCTCCTCCATCTTAATTCCCAAATGAGTCCTCAAAGTAATTAAATCAACATGTTCACCACTATGTTCACATTTATATTCCATCTCTTCCTTGTTATCTTCCATTTTGGTCTTAAACGGCTACATCCTATGTTGTAAAAATTAAATTGTTTTCTTATTCACTGCATACTGTTGAAGACTTCCCTGAAATATACAATGCAATGCCATAGTGTTATATGAAAATAATAATTGTTTACCCATTGTTTTACACCAAAAAATGATAGAAACACTTCAAGTTACTGGAAGTATTTTATTATCCTTATTATAATTATCCAGTTTAAAAATCAGGGTAAACATTCTTTTAATTAAATAATTTCCATACTCAAGTTTATAATTTGTGCGCCACTGCAAAATGAGCAAGTTAAATTCAAAATATTTTTTTATGACATTTTGTCATTTTCAAGGGACAATACATCTTCAAAATAAAAAATCAATAAATAGGGCAGAACTTCATATCCGGTTTTACTTGGATACCGAGAAACCATAACAGATGCCTGGAAAGTTATGTTTTCCTGTTTAAAAAATCAGGTCAGTGTCAGTGTTTTTGGTTCCTCTGCTGCAAGCATAAGAACCAAAAACGCCCAACATATTAATATTTTCTACGAAAAAGAGTTTCAAATTCAACATTTACAAAGTATGGTACAGTATATATGAACTTGAATTTCCATAAATTGGATAAAACTCGATTATTCTAATTTTAACAGATATTAATTAAGGAAGGATTGAGGATTATAATGAACTAAGTCATTTTAGTGTGAACGAGTGTGGACTATTCGAAAATTCAATTAAATTTCAAATTAATTTTCAGTTTTACGCTGCCTCAGCTTTAAAGTCAAACCAGTCAATTTTTAGACAAATTTATAATGTACACAGAAGTACACAGAATATTTTGCGGAATCTGGTCCGGAAATATACATAAGTGAATCCAATCAGGAGAAAAATGATAATTTTAAAGATATTTAAGGGGTTAAAATCAAACGGTTTATCACACAACTACTGTGTTGAAGCGTATAAAAGCCTGCTGTTGCCAAGTTGTTGCTATTAACAAAAAAATGGTAATCCGACAACACACCCATACGCAATTTAAAGGCGGGGAACACATTGGCTTGTCGCGTCAAAGGGATCTGTTGATGAGTGACTTCCTTCTCAATAATACCTTCATGGTTTGTCAAAATCTCAGTCAGAATAATTTTTATAACAAATTTGAAATAATTCCAATAAAATATTATATTTTACAAGTGTCAATATTAGCAACGGAAAATATCATGTTGGCCGTTTTTATGTATGATAGCAGAACCTAGGCCTAAATTGAAGGCTACTGTAAGCCAATGTGAGTCTTATTTTGCGTTTTTGTTCATGTTCAATTAAGCTAGCAATTTTGTATTATAATATTTAGGCCTATACATTTTTTAAACAATGAATATTCTATAAAAATCAGATTTTGAAAACAAATTGTGAACGTTTTAATGTCGCAATTTTCTAATTAATGCAACCTCCTCCTAGCTGAGCCCCACGACCACCAGTCACTAGCTAGGCCAACCTGATGATGATAGGCCTAGCTCTGCAACATGCTAGCTACCTAGGAATTACAGACGATCGGGCCCAACTATGCCTAGGGCTATGCCTAGGCAAGGCCTAGTCTAGGCCTAGACTCTAGCCTGCCTACCTGCTAAAAAAAAAAGGGCCTAGCGGCTAGGCACTGTACGCCTATCATAACGGCGTAATTATTTGCCACGATAGAAACTCTCATCTAACTATATAAAAAAAAAATATGTGTCAAGTCTTTTTCCTTTTTATAGCATTACCTACTGTAAATATCTAGGCCTAGGTACGCTTAGCTTACGTTTTCGTCGACTGACGACTGATGGGCAGGGCACATCTTTCTTCTACGCTTCAATTTAGTATGAAACGCCAATGGAGTTTCAAATACGATTTCAGGATACAAATGGCCCTCAGCTAGATTCATCGGAGCTGCGATTTTTTTTTCCGTACGAAACATTTGCATGAAATTTCACTCGGGCCATCTTGGATTGACTCGACTAAGTTCGATACGAGGAACAAGAACAGACACTTCGCAATGTCGTGACGCTCGAGTTTTACTATTATTGCTCTTTCTATGTTTACCTACGCTAGGCCTATGATATCTTACGGATTTATGGGATTTATGGGATTTACGTGTGTAACTAACTGTGACCTTCTTGGATGTTATTAAAT